TTGTATGTTTTAAAATGATTAAAATAATTCCCAAAACACTAATTCTACAATACTACTGCTACAATCATGTCCAAATTAATGAAACACTGTTAACTTGATGCAAATATTAAAAATCCTTCTGCTGAATGCAAGTGGTAAGGGATCATTATCAGGTACGAATCCATTCAAGGAATATGAAATAATTTCAAATGTTTATAGGCTGACTTATTTACTCTCGTATCAAATGTTCTTACTTCAGTTTGCACTACAAAGCTAAACCATCAGCATGGATATTTAAACATTACACGGAAATATGTAAATGTTAAACAAAAAATCACTATCTGACTTAATTTTTGACACTTGGAAACAGGAACAATATAACATGAAGCAAAGAAAATAGAATCAGTTCTTGAGTCACTGCATAGACGCGTTCAATACCCTTACATTTAGTGAAAATTCTGTAGGCGAAAGGCCTTTAAAAATCCTAAAACAATTACATAAAAAGATAAATTACAAACTATCCATTATAAGAAAAAAGGAACTTACTGTAATCAATTTAAAATGTATAAAATTTAAATATGATAATTCTTCCACAATATCACAAAATCAAAACTTCCCTTCGAAATTAATATCAGATCTACGTAAGAGGGACAAACTCGACGTTAAGCAAGAGCAGCACTTACCGATCCCTCTGAAGAGAACGAGGAGAACCTCGGGTAGCGGTTGATGTCGATGCAGGCACCGTCCTTGTACCAGCGGACGTCAGGCATGGGCTCTCCCGTCACCTGCAGGTAGGAGTGGGTGCAATTTAACATATGTAAGAAAATAGCGTGGGAATATCCGCGATGAATAAGGTACAATTTACGAAATGAAGGCAATTTTCCTACAGAGCGAATCTACTGTATGACTGCATAGTTTGTTATTCTCACAAACGAACATTTATCTGATTCAGAATCAACACATATTTCAACGAAAATCTTGGTTTCTCAGAAGCAAGCATTGTTTTTCGTGAAATCATCACCGCCGAATACCTGAGCATCCAGACAGATGTTGCCACCAGGCATTGCGCGGACTTGCGACGGGAGTGAGCGAGGGAGGGTCGGAGTCTCAATTTTCCTGCCGATCCTCACGGGCCTAGGAGTCATGACGGGTTCGCCCCAGCCGTACTTGTTCCTCGGGGTCACACGGAACAGATACTCACGGTCCGTTTTCAGATTGTACACATCGAAGGAGGGGATTGGCGAAACACCCAGCTGCACAAAATGTTTAATTAGAACTCACGTCTAAATATTAAATCAACACAATGTCTCAAACTTAAACAGCTCAAACTCAGTCTACGATGGAGAAACCTGAAGGGAACAAGAAGTCGCACTCACATCTGTCCAGCGAGCCTCTTCGCCCAGAATCCACGACTCGACCTTGTAGGCGGTGACGGGGGCGCCGCCTGATTGCTCGGGTCTCCCCCAGCTGAGGGAAACCCACGTCTTGCCAATGTCTGTGGCGTTGGGAGCGGCAATCTTTCCTGGCACATCTGAAGGGAACGTAACAATGTCAGATGCATATGAGCTTTGACTATGGCTAATACAATTTCTAACTAAACCATCTTCTGTTCCTATGCTAAGCCACTTTATAATTCTGTTTTGATGTTGCTTCTCATGCTAACATTACCATCCTTACCAGAATGGTAACAGCAGCAATGGATGCTTCCCACTGCTTCCCAAAGCATTAAAAAAAATATCACTATACTAAATGCTTAAATAAAATAAACAAGGACTAGGATCTACAGAACTAGCAACTACAGGACGAGCTTCTGACCTCTGATGAATCTGCCTGAAGTTCTTCTCTCCGGAATCTCAAACTTGATTGGATACCTCTCTTCCCTGCCACGTGGAGAGTAGCTGCGGGACCTGTACAGCTCGCGTACCTGAAAGGGGAGAGTTAATATAGTAATTCAGAAAGATACACCACTATATTCCATTCTGTAAGAGATGAGAACTTTCAATTTTGTCATTTTACCTACATACTGATGTGATATCTCCTGATCTCAAGTACAATTATGAATATCATGAACATGGCAGGATTACAGGTAATAATAAAACATTTAATTCTTAGAAAAAAATACCCACCTTGACACTAGCGTAGGCCCTGACGGTGCCCTGAGAGTTTTTGGCCTCCACAGTGTATGTTCCGGAGTCTGTGAACTGCGCGCCACGGATTACGAGGGTGTGTGTGTTCTCCTTTACAGTCTTGTGAGCACGCGTGGTGTTTGATACGTCATAGGTGCCCTTAAGCCACGATACTGTTGGAAGATGATTGCGTTAAATGTTTTGGGGAATTCCTCATGTACAACAAATGATAAAATACTAAGGCTAATGATTTCTATGCACGTGTAAGAGAGAGAAAGAGAGAAAGAGAGAAATAGAGAGAGAGACAGAGAGAGAGAGAGAGAGAGAAAGAGAGAGAGAGAGGAGAGAGAGAGGAGAGAGAGAGAGACGAGAGAGAGAGAGAGAGAGAGAGAGAGAGAGAGAGAGAGAGAGAGAGAGAGAGAGAGAGAGAGAGAGAGAGAGAGAGAGAGAGAAGAGAGAGAGAGAGAGAGATAGTCATAGTCCTTACCCCTAGGAGTAGGTTCGCCATGAACAGTGCATGTCAAAGTGATTTCCTCATCCCTGAATACTGTGACCATGCTCTCTGGGCGGCTGACGAATACCGGCGCCCGCAGTTCGAGGTCGGCATCCAGAGCTGCCAAGCCGCGACGGGGCCTCGGCCTCCCGAAGCTCACTGTACTCAAGGTATACGCGTAGCCATATCTAAGGTACAATAAGGAGCTCGAATTACAGTAGTGCCGGGGTGAACGGAACTATCCTCAGAATTTACTAAAACCATGGTGTCTGTCTATGATATACTGTGAACAGATGAGAACTTGTTACTATGTATCACTGGCGTCAAAAGTACTTACTTGTTTGTAATCCTACAGGAGTAAGTACCTAGGTCTTTGCTTGTGACCTGGAAAACGGTGAGGGTATGCGTGTGGCCCGTAGAAGAGATCCTGAATTTGCCGGAAGGATGTAGGGACCGGCCGTTAAACAGCCACAACACTTCCGGTTGAGGGGACCCTAAAATTAAACCAAGAAGAAGTAAGGCATTTGGGAACGCAAAGTCCCCGGATGTTCGTTGTATTTACGTCACCGTCGCAGAAACTGTTGCAGCCAGTTAATCTTCTGTCTTCATAGCCTGACATGTACAAACGTCAGCACAACAGCTTTCATTTACTGCATCACGAGTAACACAAGGAAAATAAATCTTCAAATCCAGGGTCTTTTCATAGAATTATACAATCATATCTATTCAATAACAGAATCACTGTGTATCATAAAACATCGCAAAGTATATGTTGTGAGGTAAAGCCATGACAGTTAGCTTCATTGACAAACCTTTATCCCAGTATCTCTGAAAACATAATGAGTAACACTCGGAAACTACTGACGAAAGACTTGTCACAATATTTTTTTCAGTGACATAAAAAACAGTATAGAGTAATATCATTCCACAATTCTCATACTAATGAGGGCACTCATCATTAAACCATTATGCTCAACTTAACCTTAACAAAAATTGGGCCTTGTGCCCAAAGGTAAGTTCCGGCCTTAACGACGCACCTGCTATATCGACCTGGAGTGTGAGCGTGCCATTTTCCTCAACGTATTGGTCACACAGCTCACTGATGAACCTCGGCACCTCGCTGTCGTCTGGACGGCCGTCGCTGCTTCCTGTAGGGACCAAATCTTGTTATTTAAGCTCGTGGCCACTTCTCCCACGCCCCCTAACGGAACACGGTTATCAGGACATATCCGTTCTATTGAAATGGAGTTTTAGACTAGGATTTGCAAAGATCCTTTATTTACTTATGAAGATATCAAGCCTTCTCATGATGAGAATAAATCATTTTGAATTCGACTTCCGTAGGATAATATGCTCATATCTTAACAAATTGAATGATTGGGTTCTAAACAAGAAAAATATACCATGCATATTCAGATGCTGAAATGCGAAGAATTTATATGCACAAAGTGTAGAGAGAAATATAATACAATCTGCAGGCACAGTGGAAAATTGAAGAGAACATTCATATATTTCGAGAAAAAGACAAGCAAATCGAGAATATGAACAAAAAAAAAAGCATTGTAGGGAAACATAAATATTCATTTCAAGGATAGTACACACGAAGTCGGAAGGGAATGGGGGAGGGCAAAAGAAAAACTCCAAAAAGGTAAAAAGCATACCGTGAATGGAAAAAAATACATCAAAAGGCTGGAAAAAATAATCGTGAATGGTGATGCCATGATAGTGAAATTGTAAGGCACCTTTACCGCCGTGTTTAATAAAAGTGTATTACATGATAATGAGTGATTTCTGATGATGCTTTTGAAGTAATATGAGTGTAATGATTGTGAGGAATACGATGTGATCATGAAAATTACACGTAGCCTTTATGGTCACCTCTGTTAAAGGTCATATTATAATATGATTGACTCCTGCCGACGTTTTTCGCAGAAAGATGTTATCAAAGAACTATGCAGATGGATGAATAAAAAAAATGATAAAGAACTGAATAAAGGGCATGGTAGCATGGCTGATGGGGTAAGGAGAAACATTACGCCGAAATAAAAAGAACTAGAGGACTGGAAGGATTGCAGCAAGGAAATAAAGAAAATGTTCTTATAACGCATATTTTACTTACGTTCTCTTTCCATGAGAGCTGTGAAGTCAATAAAAATCGTAAGCATAAAAATCAATATAAAAATACACTGATAAAAAGTGATTAGTCACAAAACCTAGAATAATCATGTTAACAATAGTAATTTGAAGCAGCAGTTCTCAAAATAGTTTCATTACTTTTTCCGTTACACATTCGGAATACTCGCGTTAACCCAAAAATACCAATAATTTATGGAGTACGTGTGCATGTGTCTATTGATAGGGGAACACGCAATATATATTTAGCTGTCTATCTGTTTATTTCTGTATCTATCTTGCTCTCTGCCTCTCTGTCTGTTTATCTACCTACCTACATGTATATTACATATACTATGCAAACCCATATATACATGCATATACACATACATATATATATATATATATATATATATATATATATATATATATATATATATATATATATATATATATATATATATATATATATATATATATGATGTTACTGTGTCAGTGATTAATTATTTCACAGCATACCGCTAGTTTTAACGTAATATTACACCAAGCTGATGTAACATTTAACATACGTCATCTGACACACCATAACCCATTTTATGCTTAGGGGCAAGATCAGTAAGTGTACTGTTAACTTTTAAACATTTCTCTTTCTGACATCAGATCATGTAGCTGTATAAATCAGACATAGCTCTCCCTACTGAAGTATCATTTAAATCTTTAATGGCAGTACTAGCCGGAGTAAGATTTCGAAATATCAGTGTTTAACTAGTGGTACATATAATTTGTGCATTACCCAGTACAAATACTGATTTGAACATTTATTGATTAGAAAATTTAGAGTACTGCTGCTTAACTATACTTGAGATAAAACTTATGCAATTATAGACTATAATAGCAACTCCGAGGACATTGCGTAATGTCGAATAAAATAATCACCAGCTAAGCTATTCCAAACACTATTCATGAGTCTACCCTCTCCAGTCAGCCTTATATTTCATTTTCTGTTATTGTGGATACAAAGAAAACGAAGAGACACTCACCCTGAACTTGTATATTTGCCGAAATTTCATCGCGATAAACGCGGTTTTCAGCATGGCAAGTGTAAGTGCCTGAGTCTGCTCCTCGTGGAGATGTGATGATTAGTTTACCTGAAGGGACACGTAATATGGGTTAGGTGATACACTGCCGCAGAAAATGAATGCTAAAATGTAAAATTAACACGAATTATGAATTATCTGTGATGATAAATTATGGAGAATTCTGAGATGTTTTGTTTTACTGATATGATAACGTACAAAACTTATCGTAAATATATATCGAAACAATAATATACTATACGTATTCAACAACAACAAAAAAAAAACATGGTGAAGTTTTTGCTGAGTTCAAATAACATTTGATACCTTCACGGAGTCAAAATTATTCTGATTCAAATTAACACGGCATATTACTCATAATGATGACCTTACATTACTTTCAAATTGTACTTTAAACAGACAAGACTAGCGCTCATTGCCCCGACATCAATGCAATGAGTTACGTTTTTTTTCTGACAATATTCAGCACTGCTCTTGATGAGAGGAAACACATTGATATCCATTTCAACGTTATTTCGTAATATAAACAAAATAAAGAAATCATATTTGAACGTGAATACGCTTCTGTGTACAATTTACAGGACAGTTATTTCTGTCATGAAAAATGTACAAAATTATATCTCAAAGTCATCACCACAGTACTTACAGACTCCTTCCTCCGAAATGGACGTCTGGAAGCGTGGGGAAGCAGGTAATTTGTCTGCGTCCTTCAGCCATGTGATCTTTGGCTGGGGGAAGCCTATCACGTGGCAGGACAAGACCAGCTGGTCGTCCTCAATCACGAAACGATCTGGGAAGGGACGTAGTGTTTACTTCTCAATGCATGATCAGAAAATTTTCCTGTCAATGAATTTATCCATCTGTCTGTTTGTCTGGCTAACTGTCTCTCTGTCTCTTTACCTACCTACATATCTATCTATCTATCTATCTATCTATCTATTTATTGATCCTGTTTATGTGAAATTTCTTTACTATTAATCAGTCTATATGCAATCTTATTGTTTACATGAAACTGAAGTAATTCTGCCTTATTTCCTCTGTTACAAAAACTCAATGTTTACCTCTGAGGCTAGTCGTGAAGGTGGGCGGGCTAGGCTTCTGTTCGTCCTCACCCTTCACCCTCAGATCGCACGTGGTGGAGACACGACCATGGCGATTTTTAGCTGTGCATGTGTATTCGCCGCAGTCAAAGCGACTGGCATTCAATACCTCTAAGGACGCCACGCCTTCATAGTAGGATATCTGCAAGTAATGATAATTGGTATACTATATATAGTCTTACATCTTTGTTGGCTCTTCCTGAAGCCAATTTTATGAAAATATATTTTGAAGTTTCATGTATATACATGTACACACACACACACACACACACACACACACACACACACACACACACACACACACACACACACACACACACACACACACACACACACAAACAACACACACACACACACACACACACACACACACACACACACACACACACATCTATATAGGCTACAAGTACAAGTCTTTTTCAAGAGAATCACACTCACCTTAATTCTCTCATCATCTTTGATAGGGAAACCTCCCTTGAACCACTCAATCTCCGGGGGTTCTTCCTCTGGTGTATATATGATATTGCAGGTCAGGCGGACTCGGCATCCCTTCACAGCCTGGCGGTCCTGGAGCCTCGTGCTGAACTTCGGTCTTCTCTTGGGGTCGCGACCTCGGCCCATCTGGAGAACAAAACCAAGATAAATAAAAGTTTAGTTTAAAGCTATATGATAAAGAAAAACTCGTATGAATTCGAATTTACACAAGCGATCAGACACCCCACCACGTAGGCACCTGTGCAACGACTTACATCTGGAGTCTGAGTGCGAGATCGACGGTCCAAGGAGCCGTATCTATCGACGTCAATGAGCTCTTTCTCGGAGTATTCAATCTTCCTCTTAGTTCGCTCGGCCTTTCGGCGCTCCTCGGACTCTCGGTGCTCTTGTTCCTCTTCCTCTTGCATACGTTTTCGTTCCTCCATGCGCTTCCGACGGCGTTCCTCTTCCTATTGGATGATGAACATTAATGCATAACTTAACACTCAATCAAAAGTGAGGTTATTTATCGCATATGGCCACAGAAGCAACAACTGAGCTACAGTCAACTAAAAGACAAACACAAAATATGACGTACGATCTACCTGTCTGTCTCACATCATTTGCATACCTTTTTGAGGAACTCTTCTCCCTGCAATCGTAACTCTTCTTCTCTCTTTCTCTTCATCTCCTCACGACCACGGAGTTCTTCTTCGAGCCTCTTCTTCTCCTCTTCCAATTTCTTTTTGAATGCAGCCTCCCTCTTTGCGTCTTCCTCGGCAATAAGCCTGTCTTGTTCTTCCCTCTTTCTTCTCCTTTCCAGTCTACGTTCCTCTTCTTCTTTGAGCATGCGTTCCTCTTCTTCCCGTTCCTGTTGCTTCTTCTTCTTCTTTTCCTCTCTTTCCACCTCCAACTTCTTTCGTCTCTCCTCTTCCCTTTTCTTGTTCTCCTTCTCTTCTTCTTCTTTCATCTTTCGTCTTCTCTCTCTTCTCTCCATTTCTTCCCTGAGGAACTTTTCCTCTTGTTCTTTCATAGCCTTTTCTTCTTCTAACACACACACACACACACACACACACACACACACACACACACACACACACACACACACACACACACACACACACACACACACACACACACACACACACACACACACACACACACACACACACACACACACACACACACACACACACACACACACACACACACACACACACACACACACACACACACACACACACACACACACACACACACACACACACACACACACACACACACACACACACACACACACACACACACACACACACACACACACACACACACACACACACACACACACACACACACACACACACACACACACACACACACACACACACACACACACACACACACACACACACACACACACACACACACACACACACACACACACACACACACACACACACACACACACACACACACACACACACACACACACACACACACACACACACACACACACACACACACACACACACACACACACACACACACACACACACACACACACACACACACACACACACACACACACACACACACACACACACACACACACACACACACACACACACACACACACACACACACACACACACACACACACACACACACACACACACACACACACACACACACACACACACACACACACACACACACACACACACACACACACACACACACACACACACACACACACACACACACACACACACACACACACACACACACACACACACACACACACACACACACACACACACACACACACACACACACACACACACACACACACACACACACACACACACACACACACACACACACACACACACACACACACACACACACACACACACACACACACACACACACACACACACACACACACACACACACACACACACACACACACACACACACACACACACACACACACACACACACACACACACACACACACACACACACACACACACACACACACACACACACACACACACACACACACACACACACACACACACACACACACACACACACACACACACACACACACACACACACACACACACACACACACACACACACACACACACACACACACACACACACACACACACACACACACACACACACACACACACACACACACACACACACACACACACACACACACACACACACACACACACACACACACACACACACACACACACACACACACACACACACACACACACACACACACACACACACACACACACACACACACACACACACACACACACACACACACACACACACACACACACACACACACACACACACACACACACACACACACACACATCTATATAGGCTACAAGTAAAACAAGACAAGCTGTCTTTTTCAAGAGAATCACACTCACCTTAATTCTCTCATCATCTTTGATAGGGAAACCTCCCTTGAACCACTCAATCTCCGGGGGTTCTTCCTCTGGTGTATATATGATATTGCAGGTCAGGCGGACTCGGCATCCTTCACAGCCTGGCGGTCCTGGAGCCTCGTGCTGAACTTCGGTCTTCTCTTGGGGTCGCGACCTCGGCCCATCTGGAGAACAAAACCAAGATAAATAAAAGTTTAGTTTAAAGCTATATGAAAAGAAAAACTCGTATGAATTCGAATTTACACAAGCGATCAGACACCCCACCACGTAGGCACCTGTGCAACGACTTACATCTGGAGTCTGAGTGCGAGATCGACGGTCCAAGGAGCCGTATCTATCGACGTCAATGAGCTCTTTCTCGGAGTATTCAATCTTCCTCTTAGTTCGCTCGGCCTTTCGGCGTTCCTCGGACTCTCGGTGCTCTTGATCGCTCTTCCTCTTGCATCTCAAGTAACTTCTCTTCCTCCCTTCTCATCTTCTCTTGGGCGGAGCGTCTCGCCTGCACTTCGTCCTTTTCTCCCTTCAGTATTTCCTCCTGTTTCCTGAGTTCAGACCCTCGAGCAGCTGTGATGTCTTCACCGGCCTCTCCCGACTTCCTCCTTCTCTCTGGTGCTTCTGGAGACTTGTGCTTGGCGGCTTCGGTTTCGCTTTCCTTCAGGCTGGCTCTCTTTCCGGGAGACTTTGCTCTCGTCTTTTCCTCGTCCTTGATGCTGGAACGCTTTCTGGGTTTGGGCTCTGGTGACTTTGCTTTTCCTGGCTCATCCGCCGCCTCTTTGGCAACCTTAACGTCAGCGTCCTTCAGACTAGACCTCTTCCTAGCCGGAGGTTCGGGTGATTTGGTTTCCTTCGAAACGGATTCTTTTACTTTGGCAGCATCTGCTTCCTTTATGCTGGACCGCTTCCTTTCCTTGGGTTCAGGAGATTTGGCCTTCTCCTCTTCCTTGGTCCTTGCCACCTTGGTGTCGACTTCTTTTAGGCTTGACCGCTTTCTCTCCAAAGCCTCTGGAGATTTTGATTTCTTCGCTTCATCTTTAGAGACTTTCTCTTCCTCCTTGGAGATGACTTTGGCTTCTGCTTCACGAACGGCTTTGGCATCGCCTTCTTTAAGGCTGGACCTTTTTCTTTCTTTGGGTTCTGGAGACTTGGCCTTCTTGGCTTCCTCACTGGATATGACTTTCTCTTTATCTTTCATTTCCTTATCGGCCGTCACATCGCCATCTTTAAGACTGGATCTCTTCTTTTCTATCTTTTCTGGTGATTTTGCCTTTGAGGGGATTTTATCTTCAGCTAAACCATCCTCATCCTTCATGCTGGGTTTCCTTCCATCCTTCAGCTCAGGGGACTTGGCTTTCTTGGCATCCTCCTTCCGGAGCTGCTCTCCTTCCCTTTCCTTTAGAGCTTTAGTGTCGTCTTCTTTCAGGCTGGACCTCTTCCGCTCTTTGGCTGCTGGAGATTTAGCTTTCTCGTCTCTGGCATCTTTGGTATCAGCCTCTGCAGCTTCCTTTGCTTTGATATCAGCTTCAGACCCTCTCTTTGCCTTGGTATCAACCTCGGCCTTGGCCTCAGCCTCTTTCTTAGCCTTGGTATCAACCTCGGCCTCTTTCTTAGCCTTGGTATCAGCCTCGGCCTTGGCCTCAGCCTCTTTCTTAGCCTTGGTATCAACCTCGGCCTCTTTCTTAGCCTTGGTATCAGCCTCGGCCTTGGCCTCAGCCTCTTTCTTAGCCTTGGTATCAACCTCGGCCTCTTTCTTAGCCTTGGTATCAGCCTCAGCCTTGGCCTCAGCATCTTTCTTTGCCTTGGTATCAGCTTCAGCATCTTTCTTTGCCTTGGTATCAGCCTCAGCATCTTTCTTTGCCTTGGTATCAGCCTCAGCATCTTTCTTTGCCTTGGTATCAGCTTCAGCATCTTTCTTCGCCTTGGTATCAGCCTCAGCATCTTTCTTTGCCTTGGTATCAGCTTCAGCATCTTTCTTCGCCTTGGTATCAGCCTCAGCATCTTTCTTAGCCTTGGTATCAGCCTCAACCTTGGCCTCAGCATCTTTCTTTGCCTTGGTATCAGCCTCAGCATCTTTCTTTGCCTTGGTATCAGCCTCAGCATCTTTCTTTGCCTTGGTATCAGCCTCAGCCTTGGCCTCAGCATCTTTCTTTGCCTTGGTATCAGCTTCAGCATCTTTCTTTGCCTTGGTATCAGCCTCAGCATCTTTCTTCGCCTTGGTATCAGCCTCGGCCTCTTTCTTAGCCTTGGTATCAGCCTCAGCCTTGGCCTCAGCATCTTTCTTTGCCTTGGTATCAGCCTCAGCCTTGGCCTTCAGCCTCATTTCTTAGCCTTGGTATCAACCTCGCATCTTTCTTAGCCTTGGTATCAGCCTCAGCATCTTTCTTTGCCTTGGTATCAGCTTCAGCATCTTTCTTTGCCTTGGTATCAGCCTCAGCATCTTTCTTTAGCTTGGTATCAGCCTCAGCATCTTTCTTCGCCTTGGTATCAACCTCAGCATCTTTCTTAGCCTTGGTATCAGCCTCAACCTTGGCCTCAGCATCTTTCTTTGCCTTGGTATCAGCCTCAGCATCTTTCTTTGCCTTTGTATCAACTTCAGCATCTTTCTTTGCCTTGGTATCAGCCTCAGCCTTGGCCTCAGCATCTTTCTTTGCCTTGGTATCAGCTTCAGCATCTTTCTTTGCCTTGGTATCAGCCTCAGCATCTTTCTTTGCCTTGGTATCAGCCTCAGCATCTTTCTTCGCCTTGGTATCAGCCTCGGCCTCTTTCTTAGCCTTGGTATCAGCCTCAGCATCTTTCTTTGCCTTGGTATCAGCCTCAGTCTTGGCCTCAGCCTCTTTCTTCGCCTTGGTATCAGCCTCAGCCTTGGCCTCAGCCTCTTTCTTCGCCTTGGTATCAACCTCAATCTTGGTCTCAACATCTTTCTTCGCCTTGGTATCAGCTCAGCATCTTTCTTAGCCTTGGTATCAACCTCAGCATCTTTCTTTGCCTTGGTATCAGCCTCAACCTTGGCCTCAGCATCTTTCTTTGCTTGGTATCAGCCTCAGCCTTGGCCTCAGCATCTTCTTTGCCTTGGTATCAGCTTCAGCATCTTTCGTCTTGCTATCAACTTCAGACTCTTTCTTTGCTTTGGTATCAACCTCTGTCTTTTTCTTGGTCGTCGTATCAACCTCAGCCTCTTTCTTTGTTTCTGCATCAACCTTGAGAGCTTTCTTTGCGTCTTCATTTGTCTTTTTATCTGCATCCTCTGAAATAATTGCAGACTGTGTTTTGGCTTTCAGATCTTCAGATGTAGCTATGCTCCTCTTCCCACTTACTGCAGTTTCCTCCGAACCTTCTTCCAGTTTTAAGCTTCCTTTCTTTACGCTGACTTTCTTTCCGTCCTGTACTTTCAGCTCTGCGATACCTTCGGAGACATTAATTTCCTCTACTGATGTAGCTTCTACAAGGCCACCTTCTTTTTGGAGTTTCATTTCGACTTCCCTCAATGATGTTTCAATCTCACTAAGTTTTTCTTGTAGGCCTGAGGGTGAGCTTAGGTCTATACTCAGGTTAACTGATTCTTCACCTGTCTCATTTGCCCTTTCTTTCCTCTTAATTGACAGAGTTGCATCAGAGGAGGTGGTACTCTCTATATATGCTTGAGCATTACTGTCAATCTGACTTACTTTCTTCTCAGCATCAGACTTTGCTGATTCCTCTTTCACAGAGATACTCACTTGACCAATGGCAATTTTTCCAGATATTTTAGGCTCCTTCATTTCAAGGACACTCTCTAACTCACTTGCAGAATCAGCACTAATTTCGCTAGTGGAAGTTAGTTCACTAGTAGGTTCTTCACTTGTCTCACGAACTTTCATTGCAGCTAACTGTTTGGCTAAAAGTTCTTGTTTTTTCAACAAAAGTTCTTTTCTCTTCCTAGCTAGCTCCTCCTCTACTGATTCTGGTGCACTCTGCTTAGTTAAGTCTTCTTTAGCTTGCACAATCTGTTGATCGGCGGTGAGCATCTCTGTGTCCGAAACTACACTTGTGACAGCTTTCTGGGATTCTTTGGTAATATCTTGTTGACTGGTAACAGCTACCTCTTCTTTGTGTATTTCAGTAGCTTCTGCAACAGTAAGTCCCTTTGTGTCTTTATTTACAACGGACTGGGCGGTCTGTTCATTTACTTTGTCTTCAGACTTCAAATTTTCAACAGTTTCTCCTTTTTGGTCGGTTTCTTCTACCTTAGCTGTTTTGATTTCTGATACTTTGCTTGTTATTGCAGTCTTCATTTCAGAAACCTTACTAGTTAATGCAGACATAAAGCCCTTCTTTTTCTTTTCTTCTGGTTTATCCTTCTTATCACTTATGTCTTGTGATCCAGACTTTTCATCATGTATTGACTTTTCTTGTGAGCTATCTCTCATTTGAGGAGGAGATTTTTCTTTTGACAACCCTCTCTTGGGAGATAATGTACCATCTGCAGGCTTTGTCTTTTCTGCCGAAGACCCTCTCTTTTTTGATAAACGCCTTTTGAAGAACCCACCTTCCTCCTTTGGAGCATCAGCTTCAGAGACTGACTTTTCCCGAGAAGCAGATCTCTTCTGGGTTATAGATTTTTCTTGTGATGCTCCTCTTTCCTGTGATACAATTTTCTCTTGAGATTCGCCTCTCTTTTGGGGCTCAGTCTTTTCCTGAGACAGACCTCTCTTTTGAGGCTCAGTCTTTTCCTGTGACAGACCTCTCTTTTGAGGCTCAGTCTTTTCCTGAGACACACCTCTCTTTTGAGGTTCAGTCTTTTCCTGTGATAGACCTCTCTTCTTCTCAGTCTGCTGTTCACCTTGATCTTGGACATCCATTGTTTTTTCTTTCTTTTCTGTCTCCTTTTCTGACACAGTCTTTGCCTTGTCCTCTTCCAATTTGCCATCCACTGAGGGGCCAGGGGTTCCCTTTTTGGAAGACTTATCAATTACCTTTACTTGCTTACGTTCTTCACTCTCTAAGGATTCCGTAGTTAGTGACTCACTACTAGGTGTCCTGTACAGTTCTCCTTCAGTTTTTCCAGAGAGAAGGTGTTCCATTCGTGCCAAAAGCTCTTCTTTCCGAGCTTGAATCTGCTCTGGTGTGAGAGTTGCTCCTTCCACTTGAGCTTCAACA